ATGTAAGATTCCTGGTGTTTTTAGTGATTATAAACAGATACTCCCTGCTGCAAAATGCTTAAGTTAATAATGCATAGATTGCAGAGTGAGGTTAAGGTAAAGATGGAATGATCAGGGGGGGAAAGCGCCAAGCCATTACGACTATGTAGCACTTGGAAGGCGTCAGGATAGACGCCTGACGCCTTCCGGAAGGCGTCAGGATAGGGATTTGAGATGAGAGGTTAAGGTAAAGGGGGAACATAGGTTCACTGAATTAACAATGTGTGAAGAAAACGTAAGTAATACTGAGGTCAACTGGCTGACTTCAATTTTAGCAGCCATTTTTTCAGACCACTTCCGGAGTATGTCCAAATTAATTTGCAGTGCATTAGATATATCTATCCCTGTAGTGATTGTTCTTATGAGAATTGTATTCATTGCAAAGCATACACTGCACGTGTGTATGTGTGTTCACCAGATGGATGTTAAAAGAGAGAGAGATAGAGAGAGAGAGAGAGAGAGAGAGAGAGAGAGAGAGAGAGAGAGAGAGAGAGAGAGAGAGAGAGAGAGAGAGAGAGAGAGAGAGAGAGAGAGAGAGAGAGAGAGAGAGAGAGAACTGCCCCTCCACCCCCCCCCCCCCACACACACACACAGCCAGAGAGAATATACACATCACAAGCTTCATGAATGTTTAATGAAGAAATGTTTAGACCAGACCAGACCACACACGAGTCGGAGATCGAGCCCAGGTCGACCACAGCGCCAGTAACTCGACACCAGCCGCCACAATGGTTGACCTGCGCAAACACCAGCCAATTCACTCAGACAGTTGTGTAACTAACTGCCGTAAGGGGGGAGGGAGGTGGAAGGGGGAGCTAGGGGGGGGGAGTGGGGGGGGGTGTTATGTCAGCAGAAGAGGAGGAGGGGGGGGGAGGGGAGAGGGGGGAAGGGTTACACTAGCCAGGTCACCTGAGGTCAAGTATATAGGACTCACTGGAGCGTAATACACACATATACTTGTGTGTGTGTGTGTGTGACCAGTTGTGGTTGGGGGGGGGGGGGGAGGGGGTTACTGGGTTGGGGGAGGGGAAAGGGGGTTACTGGGTGGGGGGAGGGGGAGCTGAACCCCCCCTGCTATATCTGAACTGTTAACCTCTCTTGTGTGTACATGGTAGTGCTGAAGCCTACAGTACTGAAGCTTGCAGTACTGAAGCCTACAGTACTGAAGCCTACGGTACTGAAGCCTGCAGTACTGAAGCCTACAGTACTGAAACCTGCAGTACTGAAGCCTGCAGTACTGAAGCCTGCAGTACTGAAGCCTACAGTACTGAAGCCTACAGTACTGAAGCCTGCAGTACTGAAGCCTGCAGTACTGAAGCCTACAGTACTGAAGCCTGCAGTACTGAAGCCTGCAGTACTGAAGCCTACAGTACTGAAGCCTACAGTACTGAAGCCTACAGTACTGAAGCCTACAGTACTGAAGCCTACAGTACTGAAGCCTGCAGTACTGAAGCCTGCAGTACTGAAGCCTACAGTACTGAAGCCTACAGTACTGAAGCCTACAGTACTGAAGCCTACAGTACTGAAGCCTGCAGTACTGAAGCCTACAGTACTGAAGCCTACAGTACTGAAGCCTTCAGTACTGAAGCCTACAGTACTGAAGCCTACAGTACTGAAGCCTGCAGTACTGAAGCCTACAGTACTGAAGCCTGCAGTACTGAAGCCTGCAGTACTGAAGCCTACAGTACTGAAGCCTGCAGTACTGAAGCCTACAGTACTGAAGCCTGCAGTACTGAAGCCTGCAGTACTGAAGCCTACAGTACTGAAGCCTGCAGTACTGAAGCCTGCAGTACTGAAGCTTGTAGGTATACAAAAGACAGTCGTGACCTTTGCGTGACGTAGTCTCGGGGGTGGGTCACCCGGTGACCTGTGTGGCGTGACGCCCGGCTCTCTCTCTCTCTCTCTCTCTCTCTCTCTCTCTCTCTCTCTCTCTCTCTCTCTCTCTCTCTCTCTCTCTCTCTCTCTCTCTCTCTCTCTCTCTCTCTCTCTCTCATGACGTGCGTGACGCAAAAGTGAGGGTGACGCAAGGGGGGTGGAGGGGGGGGGTGGGGGTGGCGTGGAGGTGGATGACAGGTATATAGGCAGGTGTGGTGGAGGCAGGTGTGGTGGAGGCCACATATCTGACCCTGTGTGTGTACCTGAATACAAAGTCAGCAGTCAGTTGTTGCCAAACTTCCATAAGATAGAATGTTTTTGAAAATATTTGTAACACGACACTCGCACAGAAGTGAAATATCGAAGATAAAATCAATTGGAGCCATGCGGGGGACTCGAACGTGCGATCTGCATATTCCTAGCCGTGATCCTTAACCTTCCCCCCTCCCGCATGATAAGGGGAGAGGTTAAGGTCTAAGGAGGTTGAGGTCTAAGCCAGAAATAAAAAGCTCGTTGGCATTACCATATTTTGATGGCCTAGTATAAAGCTTGTCCCAGCCCTGTAAACCATTTATATTTTAACCCAATGTAAAAAAAAAAATACAGTTAAATCCATGTTAATTAAGAACTCTCCCTCGTCTGTAGCAGGTTGTGTGTACTTCATCCCTTGTAATGAGTGTGCATGTGTTTACATCGGCCAGACTGGTAAATCTCTTTCCTCGCGTTTAAAACAACATTCGTATGCTATTCGTACAGCCCAGTACTCCAGTGCCTTGTATTTACATTCCCAGTTTATGTGATCATTCTATCGGCTTCAGAGGGGGCGAAATGTATTGTTAAAAAGTAAGGATTCCGATGAACGAAATGTGATTGAGTCTGCTCTGATCCAACACTGTAACAACAGCCTTAATATATGCCCTTATATTTTCAAATTAGAAAATTAGATCCCAATTTAAGCTTCAATATAGCATGTTAATACAATATTGCATTCATTTAACCCCATTTTTTCGTCCCTTTTATCCACAGGTTTCATCCCCAATTTCATTGTATAGATCAATAGGCCTTTATTCTTATTTTCTTGGTGGTCAGGTGACCTGCCTTGACGGGTATAATAGGTCTGCCTTTCACGTTTCTTTCCAAAAGTAACACAGCCCCGCTCCTGTGCCATGTAAGTCCACAACGGGCTCACCATAGTCCGTGCTACTTAGAACTTTTAGTTCTGAGTAGCTGAATCTTAAACAACAACAACAACCTTTGAATAAATCCACAAGGGCCGTGACGAAGATTCGAACCTGCGTCCGAGGGCATCCCAGACGCTGCCTTAATCGACTGAGCTACGACATGGTCAAAAGGAGTTGAAACCGATGTTCTACTGAACTTACTGGGTCCTGCAGCCTCTCCGAGGCACAAACCAGGGTTTTACACAACTCTCCCCCCCCCATGCACTCGAGCGTCTGGGATGCTCTCAGACGTAGGTTCGAATCCTCTTCACGGCCCTTGTGGATTTGTTCCTTTGATGCATCACGCAATTGTGATTCCTGTGTGTAACAACATCCTTTCTTCCTTCATTCTAAAAATGCTCTTAAGAAGGCTAGTTGAGCCGAAAACGCGTTTAGCATTCTCTAAGTGACCCCGTGCAGCATCACTGACCCCGTGCAGCATCACTGACCCCGTGCAGCATCACTGACCCCGTGCAGCATCACTGACCCCGTGCAGCATCACTGACCCCGTGCAGCATCACTGACCCTGTGCAGCATCACTGACCCCGTGCAGCATCACTGACCCCGTGCAGCATCATTGACCCTGTGCAGCATCACTGACCCCGTGCAGCATCACTGACCCGTGCAGCATCACTGACCCCGTGCAGCATCACTGACCCCGTGCAGCATCACTGACCCCGTGCAGCATCACTGACCCGTGCAGCATCACTGACCCGTGCCACATCACTGACCCCGTGCAGCATCACTGACCCCGTGCAGCATCACTGACCCGTGCAGCATCACTGACCCGTGCAGCATCACTGGATAAGATAAGACCACCTGTCACTCACATCTGACTGACCTTCATCTCCGACATAACGCATCGTCTCACCTGTTGATTACCTCCGGCGCCACAGGTATCTGGGGCACTCTGGTACCTGACCTCATGCCTCACCCCTCATAATATCCCCCCTGATGGTCAACACTCCTCATCATACCTCTTCATCATTTACTCATCCTCATTCTACTCCTTCCATCTATCCATTCCTATATCCATTCCACACACACACACACACAGGCAATGAAATATATGGAAGACATGTTTTACTTAGGTAAACAATGTTAACTAACGCTGTTGACATAATTATTTCTCCATCTAAGGCGACTTTCAAGGACAAGGTAGAGAGTGAGACTTGCTGCCTCGCCCCAACGGGACGCCTGCCTGCCCTCCGTTGCTTATAAGGTCACACACCAATTCTTACTTTGCGGGCGATAGCGCAAAAAAAAAAATTAATATGGTGCGTTAAGTGTGAGAACAGGTTAAATATTGCCATCTACTTAGAACGGCTGGAAGCTGAGTGTATTAGGGTCTGCTGGAAGCTGAGTGTATTAGGGTCTGCTGGAAGCTGAGTGTATTAGGGTCTGCTGGAAGCTGAGTGTATTAGGGTCTGCTGGAAGCTGAGTGTATTAGGGTCTGCTGGAAGCTGAGTGTATTAGGGTCTGCTGGAAGCTGAGTGTATTAGGGTCTGCTGGAAGCTGAGAGTGTTAGGGTCTGCTGGAAGCTGAGTGTATTAGGGGTCTGCTGGAAGCTGAGAGTATTAGGGTCTGCTGGAAGCTGAGTGTATTAGGGGTCTGCTGGAAGCTGAGAGTATTAGACTCTGCTGGAATGTAAGCATAACAAGGTCTGCCTGAAGCAGCCATTCAGCAATAGGCCAAAGATGCACAGATCGCATAGTTGGGAGGAAAAAAGCAGCATCTTTGACGCACTCTCCGTCAAGAGTGGAGGAGTGGGGGTTTAAGGGGGTGTCTGGGGGGGGCTGCAAGGTCGTTTACTTGTCGTTGTCGTCCTCCTGAGGGTGTGTGTGTGTGGGTTATAAGCCCCAGACCAGGAGCCAGGAGCCCCAGTCCTTGCTCCTCCTTCACCGCCTCTCCTCACCTGCTTCATGAGAGCTCAGGTGACGTCCTCTAAACTCTTCACTTTATTAGTGGTATTAATTTGATTATTATTATTATTAGGTATTATATTCAGGCCAATATTTTTATGTTAGCTGTTAAGCTGGTAGAAATATTTGCAATTGATCTGTATTAGTTAGCACTGATATACTTATGGCAGGTGTTTGATACCCCTGCTTCCTCTTCGACAGGTGTTTGATACCCCTGCTTCCTCTTCCACAGGTGTTTGATACCCCTGCTTCCTCTTCCACAGGTGTTTGATACCCCTGCTTCCTCTTCCACAGGTGTTTGATACCCCTGCTTCCTCTTCCACAGGTGTTTGATACCCCTGCTTCCTCTTCGACAAGTGTTTGATACTCTGCTTCTCCTTCCACAGGTGTTTGATATTCTTCTCCTTTTCCACAGGTGTGTGTGCTGGTGGCCTTGGCAGCCCTGGCGGCCGCTGCCCCGCTCTCTGCACCGGACACCAGTGGACACCTGTCCCAGACTCACCTGTTCCGACTCCTCAGAGCCGCCCGCGACGACAGCCGGTCCGCCGAAGACTGGTCCAACAGTCTCGATGACGACCACAACAGTCACCAGTTAGCTGGAGGCGACAGCGACGAGGGTGACGACGACGACGACGACCGTCATCATCACTTCTGGATCCCCAGAGACGAGGAAGATCGCGGCGAAGATGCCGGCGGCGCCGCCTTCGTCTCGCGGGATAAAAATGGGGAATCCGGTAAGCAGGAAGCTGAGGAAGACGATAATGGTGAAGAGAACGGCAAGGGAGAGGAGAGAAATGGTGATAAAGAAGAGAGAAATGGTGATAAAGATGAAGATTGAAGATGTATAGGTAGTTAAGCAAGCCAGGAAGGAAGAGAGAAAGAGAGAGAGCACAATGCAAGGCTTGAATAGGGGGGCCTTGACCTATCACCCCATCACCCCTCACTCACCCTGCTGCCTCAGTCCTTCACCCTAAATCCTGCTGACTCGGTTCCCTCATTCATGCCTCCCCCCCCCCTCATTCAGCAGACCTCATTCTCCTCCTCCTCCTCCTCTCAGGAGTCATCATGATGCTCATCTTGGCGCAAGCAGGAAGAATTTTTTGTCTTATTGTCCTTCCTTCGCAATACCCCCTTTCTTTCTCTGTTTCACTCTCCCCTCTGTCTGTCTGTCTCTCTCTCCCCTCTCTGTCTCACTCTCTCTCTCCCTCTCTCTCCTCTCTCTCACCACCTCCCCCTAAACATGATAAATTCAATAACTTCTGATTTTCCTTAATAGATGCATTCCCTCAATTATTATTAAGACATAATTATGTAATAAATATTAAAGACAAGATCAATTATATTCCTTTACCTTGACGTCAGGTTAGCCTTAGTCTCGAGAAGCTGTCAAACAAACACACCAAAACATCAACAAAAGCCCAAACAGAAGCAAAGACAATGTACAAGTTTAAGAAAACATGTTTTCAAGGAAGTGTTTACAAATCTTCACAAAATCAACAAGGGCAAATCAGCTGTTTATGAAAACAAAGAGAGCAAGGACAACAAAACAAACACAGACCTTCACCATCAGTAAAATAACAATAACAATTAAAATATAAATTTGTGTTATTGTTATAAAGAACCAATAAAATATTTTCAGGAAGCAAACGAAGAAAAATTAAATTATTATTGTAGTAAAAATATTACGATGTAATCCAGCAACCACGGAGGATAACACAGTGACGGAGGATAACACAGTGACGGAGGATAACACAGTGACGGAGGATAACACAGTGACGGAGGATAACACAGTGACGGAGGATAACACAGTGACGGAGGATAACACAGTGACGGAGGATAACACAGTGACGGAGGATAACACAGTCACGGAGGATAACACAGTGACGGAGGATAACACAGTGACGGAGGATAACACAGTGACGGAGGATAACACAGTGACGGAGGATAACACAGTCACGGAGGATAACACAGTCACGGAGGATAACACAGTCACGGAGGATAATACAGTCACGGAGGATAACACAGTGACGGAGGATAACATAGTCACGGAGGATAACACAGTGACGGAGGATAACACAGTCAGGGACGATAACAGTGACGGAGGATAACACAGTGACGGAGGATAACACAGTGACGGAGGATAACACAGTGACGGAGGATAACACAGTGACGGAGGATAACACAGTGACGGAGGATAACACAGTGACGGAGGATAACACAGTCACGGAGGATAATAGTCACGGAGGATAACACAGTCACAGACAATAACAGTCAAGGAGGATAATGAAGTCACGGAGGATAACACAGTCAGGGACGATAACAGTCACGGAGGATAACACAGTCACGGAGGATAACACAGTCACGGAAGATAACAGTCACAAAGGATAACACAGTCACGGAGGATAACACAGTCACGAAGGATAACACAGTCACGGGAGATAACACAGTGACGGAGGATAACACAGTCACGAAGGATAACACAGTCACGGAGGATAACACAGTCACGGGAGATAACACATTGACGGAGGATAACACAGTCATGGAGGATAACAGTCACGGAGGATAACACAGTCACGCAGGATAACACAGTCACGGAGGATAACACAGTCACGGAGGACAACACAGATAACACAGTCACGGAGGATAACACAGTCACGGAGGACAACACAGATAACACAGTCACGGAGGATAACACAGTCACGGAGGACAACACAGATAACACAGTCATGGGAGATAACACAGTGGTTGCCAGGATCAGGTTGGGTTACCTGTGGCAGGTGGCTACAGGTGACGGATCTCCCAATCCTGAGCACTCCAGGTGCAAACTCTGTGAGCAGGAACTGCGGCATGATCTCCCACACTACATCACCGAATGTCCAGTTATCAGACCATTCAGACCCGCCGGCATGAGGTCCCTGGAGCTTTGCAATTACTTTATTCCATTTCGTGTTCTTGATGATATCCTCATAATGCTCCCAGAGTTTGCCAATGCAGACTACTGATCCCATGGTTAGTATGACTAACCATCCTGTGTGATGGGGACGTTTAGCATTATGTCACTAGTTCCTGATACACTCTGTACTCCCCTTCATATAGTCTAGGATAGCTGAACAAATATCCAGGGACCTAATTGTGTTAATAACCAAAATTTGGGTGGATATAATTGGTCCAATAGGCCTCCTGCAATTTCCGATAATCTTATTCCTATAATTCCTTCGACCGTAGACGACATATGAGGCATCAAGTCGTTTGCGACATCATCGTTTGTCTCTAATGATTGCAATCAAGGAAGGAAACATTCCCACGCTCTCTCGCTGACCACAAAAACCCCACATAAACCAATGCATGAGCTGTGTGTGTGCTGGGAAATTGGTATTCCTTTCAAGGTTGACATTTCTGGTGAGGTCACATTTCCGTCCCAAGAGGCGTGGTCTTCGGTGCCATGGGGCCCTATATAAGGCAAATGAGTACCTCGGTCTGCACCACATCCAGCCCTCACCTCCTGCCCTCACGGTCTTTTCCTCAACTTCCTCCTTGGTGTGGTCTGAAGCTCTCATAACTACAGATCCGGTCATCCCTGAGCATCCTCCTTCCAGCATCCTTCTGCCAACATCCCTCTGCCAGAATTATTTTGCCAGCAACCAATTGTCATCTCAACAGGATGAAGTTCTGGGTGAGTTGTTGTGATTTTCACGAAGTTCATAATACAAGATATATACAGTGGAAGGTGTACCTAGTGTATATACAGTTAGAGGTGCACCCAGTGTATATACATTGAGAGTTCAGTTTACTCCTTGACAATTTTCAGGATTTAAGTATTATTGACGGCTGGTCAATACTGTGGTGACCTTAGTAACCCTCCTAAAGGTTAAGGGTCTAACCATTAAGCCCACCACCAAACTTGCTAATTGGTCAATAAACTATTGTGGAGGCTAAATGTACATCACAGCAGTTTTCTTTAAACATTGTACACAACAACTCCAATAAGACAACATCATGTCTTAATTATACCTAAACATCATTCAGACTTCTCGAATATATAAATCACAAATGGTTTTCGATATCCAAGAACAGTCACTGAAGAATACTTAAGAAACTAGGAAGCAAACGTTTTAGAAGTCTTCAAATTCCATCAAAGTTTACAGAAGGAATATTTAAATATAATTGTGTAATTCTTCTCGTTCCCTAGATGATTGTGGCAATGGTGGCAGCGGTGGGATTAGTGGCTCACGCTGGAGCCTCACCAAACACACTATTCGACTTTGAAGGTGACAACCACAAGCACTCTCAAACAGGCGACGCTGGTGACAAGGTCGAGGGCTCGTACAGGTAAGTTAGGGGGCAGGTGGGTCTGAACCTGAGCAAATGATGTCCGCTTCATCGACAAAACAATTTGCTTTTAATACCAAAATATGATAAAATTTGTTTTACGTATACAAATCTCCTTTCTTTTGCACTTGAAAGTTATTATTTTCATTTGACAAGTTATTAGGACAAATCTGTTGTCACACAAAGTTAACACAATACTTCTCATGTTTTAGCTGGACGTCTCCAGAAGGCGTAGAGTTCTTCGTCAAGTACGTGGCTGACGAGAATGGTTACCGCGTCCTGGACTCCAACGCTGTCCCCGTCTCCTCCTGGGGCGCCCGGGCTGACGGCAACCAGGGCTCCTTCGTCGACTACGAGGGCGAAGGAGGAGGAGCCAAGCATTAACCTACTCTTTACGCTGGAAACGACTTCGAGACTAAGAAAATAGAGCTTGAGGACTTCGAAACGAAGAAATTAGGCTCCGAAAACTTGGAAGCTAGCTTAGAAGGACCTGAGGACTCGGAAGTGACCAGTTGGTCGCGACTCTCTCTCTTATAATGTATAAGTAACAATTGTATATCATTGTGAAGCGGTGGTTTGGTAACTTATTTGTAATTTCAGCCTAAATGTTGTCCCGTTGCAAGTAGTTAATCTTGGGCAGAATAAAACGTTCATGATGGGAGATAATACGTCTTTTTCACCTTAAAAGTATTTTTAATTGTTATGTAACATGAGGACAGGAGAGTTTGATGATACGAATGTCTGTCAGTCTGAGAAGAGAGAGACAGAGGCTCTCTCTCTCTCTCTCCCATAGGTAACACTCATCAAACAGAAGGTCTGACCTCGATCCCACTCATCAAATAGATCTAACAAAGGTCTCACTCATCAAATAAGGTCTCTGTCGTAGGACACACTAATCTAAGAGGACTATAAAACGCGGGAAAAAAGTAATTGAGCAGGGTTTCAACGAGCCGGCAACGTCATTCACCACGCGCCAGACTAGTGCTTAGCTGTGTTGTCAAGGTGTCGCGAGGAGGGGCGAGCTAGGCTGCTGGGATGATGCTAGGATTATGTTAAGTAATGCTAGGTGATGACTGAGTGATGCTTGAAGATCCAGAATGATGAATGACTGATGCTTGGGGCCGAGGGAAACAATATGATGACTGAATCATGCCGGGATTATTCTGAATGATACTGGGTGGTGTTAGGATGATGATCCGTGATCCCGACATGAATTTGGGATGAAGGAATGTCTTGCTTGGAGGCTCAGGTGTGTGTGTGTGTCATTACGGTACGCGATGGAATTTTGATTGAGTGATGGCTGGGAGGAAGGAGGGGGGGGAGGGGAGGGGACTGGGGGAGAGCTGACTAGAGCGGCTCTGGCCATCGGTCCGCCGGGAAAAATCCCGGGGAAAATTCCCAGCGGGCAACAGGTTGAACAGCTATATGCTATTGCCAAAGTTTCCACGTTGCAATTTTGTTTGTTTTTTTGGGATGGAGGGGGGAGGGGAAGGGGAGAGAGGAGGGGGATGAGCCCCATAAAAAAATCCCGTAAGTGTTCAGCGAACAGCTGTAGGTACGGGTGTTCAGGGTCTTTAGCGGGTACTGGGTGGTACTGGGTGGTACTGGGTGGTACTGGGTGGTGTTAGGTGGTGTTAGGAAACCCCATCCTCTTGAAATGATAGTATTTATTTTATCTATTTGGTCGAAAGTACCAATATGTAGTGATGGACCACCAGAAAGTACCAATATGTAGTGATGGACCACCAGAAAGTACCAATATGTAGTGATGGACCACCAGAAAGTACCAATATGTAGTGATGGACCACCAGAAAGTACCAATATGTAGTGATGGACCACCAGAAAGTACCAATATGTAGTGATGGACCACCAGAAAGTACCAATATGTAGTGATGGACCACCAGAAAGTACCAATATGTAGTGATGGACCACCAGAAAGTACCAATATGTAGTGATGGACCACCAGAAAGTACCAATATGCAGTGATGGACCACCAGAAAGTACCAATATGCAGTGATGGACCACCAGAAAGTACCAACAAGTAGTGATGGTGATGAACCACCAGAAAGTACCAACAAGTAGTGATGGACCACCAGAAAGTACCAACAAGTAGTGATGGACCACCAGAAAAGTACCAATTGAGTAATAACATCGATACTTTCAGTTGGTTCATTTAGTTACAGAAGCTAAAATGAAAAAGCAATTGGCAAATACAGTTATATGAGAAAGACTCCCAGGAAGCCGTCTAAATTAAACACAAGAATGACATCCTTTAGATATGTGACAGATCTGCCTTTACATCAGCGAAGAGTAGGACCAACTAAAGAAAATACATCACGCGAGACCATATCTTCAAATTGGTGATCCTCATTAAGAAGAATGATGATTGCGAAGACACGTTACTCAGCTCACAACGTAGTCGAGGTTTAGAACGGAGCAATAAACCTCTGCGACAAATCTCAAATCTAAGTGGAGGAGAATTCATATAATTCAGTTTTAATAATAAACCGATTGACTGGGAACCAATAAACCACGACCTCGCAGAAATTGGCTGGGAAGAACAGGTAGAAATTATAGACCTATATCAGAGACTCGGAGAAAAATAGGCTCAGTAGAACTAGACATATGTTCACTACATATAATTTTTAAATAAGATAAAAAAAAAAGATGCAATCAGGAACGAGAACTGAAGCGCCTCTACATCGAGTCAAGAACGACAAGGAGGTCAAAGTAGAGAATTAGAAACCATCAAGCTTAAACTACAAGAATCATATAAACTCCAGGAGAGACAGAGAGGAACAGATAAAAAAAATAACCATCAGTGAAATAGAGAAGAACCCCCAAAAATACTTTTTCTCCTATAGAAAATCAAGAACTTAACGTACAATTAACAATAAACTCTTGTCCAAGGGAGAGGAACTTTCACAGATGAGAGCACAGGAATTACTACAAATTCTGATGCTACAATACAATGTTGTTTTCAGTAAACCACTAAATACTCTGAAGATCTATAATGCTAACGAATTCTTCATGAATTGGACATCAGCATCGAAGCATATATATATATATATATATATATATATATATATATATATATATATAAAAAGTATATTACTTTAAAAAGCATGACGTTTCTTATATTTCTAATCTGATCTAAAAGAAAAACAGAAGTCACAATAAAATAAGTAGCAAACAAAGAACTCATACTGAACAAAATTACCTCTCAGAAGAAGAGAGATAGATATATAACGACACTGGTTATGAAACAAAACACTTAAGCTCACTTGTAATGATCAAACTGAATAAAAGTTTATAACTATTACATGGATAACAACAGCTAATTTAACACAATTATAACAATATATCTAATAAAACAATCCACACTATTAAACTTACGTGATTTGATTAAACGAAGTGAAACTTGATATATTAATCAAGAGGACAATCAACACTAATACAACACTTATAATATCTACTACACATTTACAAAACATGTATATAAAACCCAAGCAAAATAAGAAATAATTGTAAAATATTAGCCATAACTCTATGAAAAGTATAAATATCAAACAAAACTAAACATCAAAAATTTATTATACGTTTTAATTCAAACAACTTTAACAATTTACAATATCAACACTTATAAGTAAAAAAATAAGACAACTCATGGTAGACTAAAGCAAAAATAAAAAAAAACACCAGCACGAACCAAAAAATCAAAATATAAGGCCTAGTGTGCATTATACATTGTACAATTGAAGTGCCGAAAGGTTATTATTTAGTAGAGGCCGCAGATCCCTGTGTCTAGAATTTTAAAATCGGAATTTAAGTAGATTTAATTCATGAGTTGAATCATTCTTTGCTGGAATCCGATTTTAAAATTCTAGACTTGTATGAATGGCCAGTCGGATTTGAGAATAATGGAATCCTTATATATCAGGGAGCTACGACCTCTGTTAATCTACGTCCTATCTACGTCAGAGACTATCCTCAGACGTAGATAGGGACAGTAGAGAGGGACATCATCCCTTGCAAGTGATTGTTGTTAAAGATTCGCTACCTGGAACAAAGTTGCAAGTAGCACGGGCTATGGTGAGCCCGTAGTGGAGAGCAAGTGACATTAGAAATTTAACATAAAGGGCGTTACCAGCTGACCTCACGGCATTCAAGAAAACTTGATAATCCTCTTCAAAGCTTCCTCAGTGCTAGGTAATAAACATGGTACACTACCTTCATGCCCGGCGCACAACATGGTACACTTCGTACAAGGCCGGTACAAAAGCTGGTACACTTTCTCCGCGCCTGGTGCATTTCCTCCGTTCTCGGTACAAAGCATGGTACACTTCCTGCATACCCCGGTGCATCATATGGTACACACCCTCCATCCCGGTACAAAACATGGTACATTTTCCTCCATGCCCCGGTACAAACATGGTAAAATTCATCAATGCCCTGTTTCAAACATGATACAGTTCCTCACTCCCTGGTACAAAACACGGTACACTTCCTACAAGGCCGGTATAAACCATGGTACACTTTCCACCATGTCCGGTACAAAGTACACTTTCTCCCTCCCTCCCCTGACTCGGTACAAACAAAATACACTTCCCCCATACGAGGTACAAACACGGTACACCTCCCCCCTCCCCCCCCCAGACCCAGTACAGACAAGGTACACCTCAACCTTTGACATTACAAGACTCATCCACAGTTGCACTAAACGGCCCATGCAACAATGCAGACAACAAGGGTTGTGCAATATGTTCACTTGTACAATGATCTGTCCAATGGAGCCATGTTTGGTGGTGTTTTTTTTGGGGGGGGGGGGGTCGATGCGAATAGTGCCCTTGCCAGTGATCCTAGGACCTGTCAGTGGTCTCCTAGGACCTGTCAGAGGTCTCCTAGGACCTGTAGGACTCTGCTACAACCTGGCAGGGCTCCACTAGGACCTGTCAAAAGTCTCCTAGGACCTGTAGGACTCTCCTACGACCTGGCAGGGCTCCACTAGGACCTGCCAGAAGTTACATAGGACCTGTAGGACTCTCCTACGACCTGGCAGGGCTCCACTAGGACCTGTCAGGACTCTCCTAGGACCTGTTAGGACTCTCCTAGGACCTGTCAGGACTCTCCTAGGACCTGTCAGGACTCTCCTAGGACCTGTCAGGACTCTCCTACGACCCAGTAGGAATGATGCTCTGATATAGACGAACAGGCTGGGCTATATGGGAAAAGGAAATTGGATATATAATTTGTCTGAATTTATCTGAGAGGCACTAACACTCTAGTAACCTTGACGAGGACAGGAAGCCGGCGGCTTGTCAAACATCCCCACCCCGGGGAGCCGGTCGGCCGAGCGGACAGTACGCTGGACTTGCGATCCTGTGGTCCCGGGTTCGATCCCGGGCGCCGGCGAGAAACAATGGGCAGAGTTTCTTTCACCCTATGCCCCTGTTTCCTAGCAGTAAAATAGGTACCTGGGTGTTAGTCAGCTGTCACGGGCTGCTTCCTGGGGATGGAGGCCTGGTCGAGGACCGGGCCGCGGGGACACTAAAGCCCCGAAATCATCTCAAGATAACCTCAAGATCTCAAGATAACCCCCTCTATCCCCCCATTGGTCCTGGATATTTTCTCAAACGTCGACTTCAAAAATTCTAATATTCTGATATCTACGGCTTCGGCGGGTAAGCGGTTCCCATGGGGGGCATACAACCCCGTGGGAGAAAAAAAAAGCATATCTCCTGTTCTCTGTCCTGCATTGTGGCTTGTTGAGCTTCTATAGTTCTTTTTTTTCAGCGCCTTAGTGTGGCAATCCAGAGAGGAAATGCTCATTGCATCCATGGTCTCCCACAAGGTGGGAGCTGGACGGCCGAGCGGACAGCACGCTGGACTTGTGATCCCGTGTTCCTGGATTCGATCCCAGGAACACGTTCTTACGGCTTGTTGAGCTTGCAACCCGTTGCGTCTTGTGGTGGGTGTTCTTCTGACCTTCTGAAGCAAAGGTCTGGATCAACATCCTCCAAAATTACTCGATGTTTTAGAGACTTAGATGAGATCCGCCCTGTCCCGTCTGGTTTATTGTGTTGTTGGCCTTGTGTCCTGTGGCAAGGAGAGTGCATATAATGAGAAGGAGCTCGGGTATGAGGACAAGGAGCTGGGGTATGAGGACAAGGAGCTGGGGTATGAGGACAAGGTGCTGGGGTATGTGGATAAGGAGCTGGGGTATGTGGATAAGGAGCTGGGTTATGTGGGACAAGGAACTAGGGTATGAGGGACAAGGAGCTAGGGTATGAGGACAAGGAGCTGGGGTATGAGGGACAAGGAGCTGAGGTATGAGGACAAGGAGCTGGGTTATGTGGGACAAGGAGCTAGGGTATGAGGGACAAGGAGCTGGGGTATGAGGACAAGGAGCTCGGGTATGAGGACAAGGTGCTGGAGTATGAGGGACAAGGAGCTAGGGTATGAGGACAAGGAGCTGGGGTATGAGGGACAAGGAGCTGGGGTATGAGGGACAAGGAGCTGGGGTATGAGGGACAAGGAGCTGAGGTATGAGGGACAAGGAGCTGGGTTATGTGGACAAGGAGCTGGGGTATGAGGACAAGGAGCTAGGGTTATGTGGACAAGGAGCTGGGTTATGAGGACAAGTAGCTGGGGTATGAGGACAAGGAGCTGGGATATGAGGAAAAGGAGCTAGGGTTATGAGGACAAGGAGTTGGGGTATGTGGACAAGGAGCTGGGGTATGAAGACAAGGAACTGGGATATGAGGACAAGGAACTGGGATATGAGGAAAAGAAGCTGGGATATGAGGAAAAGGAACTGGGATATGAGGACAAGGAGCTGGGATATGAGGACAAGGAGCTGGGAAATGAGTACAAGAAGCTGGGATATGAGGACAAGGAGCTGGGGTATGAGAACAAGGAGCTGGAGTATGAAGACAAGGAGCTGGAGCTGGGATATGAATACAAAAAGCAGGGATATGAGGACAAGGAGCTGGGATATAAGGACAAGGAAATAAGATAACATTCGAGGGGGGAGAGAATAGTGACGGTGTTGCTGGGGGAGAATGGTGATGGTGTTGAGAGAGGGAAGAAGAGACGCAGGATGAGGATGCTGTTGGGAGGGAGGGAGGGAAGAAGAGGGGGGGGGGGAGAGAGAAGAGTCGCCAGGATAACCAGTAGTCGACAAGGACGCTCGCTTGCTCCCGTGATAAAAGCCCGCCACCGGGAACGGGCCGCCCCAGTCCTCATCTTCCTCACCGTCTCTCCGGCTGGCGCGCAAACCCAAATATCCAACACACTCCCTCACCATCCTCACTATCACCGTCACCATGAGAATCCTGGTGAATATTCGACTTGTAGTGTGTGTGTGAAGGTGCTACATACCAGACACCACCATCTGGTAGATCATTTTAAGGGCGGGGGACAGGATTGCCAAAATATCATCGACCGTGCAGAAAAAAAAGTATTGTGGTAATATGATGCAACTGTTGACTACATTACCTACGTTCTGCTTAGGCTGCAGAGTCTCGTGTCTGCTGCATTGTTGCACAAACTTCTCATTTTTTTGCAAAGTGATGGATTCTTTTACACTTTTAGGGTAGTTTTTATTATTATTATTTTCTACCACAGACGTGGCCAGACATTTACAATGCTAACCAGCATATATATATATATATATATATATATATATATATATATATATATATATATATATATATATATATATATACATTTTCTTCTATCCTCCATGGACGAGGTTGGAGAGCCTGTTAAACATATACTTCAGTGATTTATTGAACAATCAACCACAGAAGGTGATTGTAGTGCTTTTAAAATGCTAAACTAATCTGCAATCGTAAATACACAGATTTACGTCTGTCTTACATAAAGAGTGTTCGAGGTGTTGTTTTACATAGTGTCAATAATGTGCGTTTACAAAGGTGATAGAGGGGGTCTTGGCGGGTCGTGAATTGACAGACAGGTGTCGGACACCTGTCTGTCAATTCCGACAGTTACATGTGACCTTCCACTTGATGGAGATCTTAACAAGTGATAGATTGTTGAAAGGTATTGGGGGGGGGGCCTTGACAAGTGACGGATTGTTGACAAGCGTTGGGGGGGGGGGGGGGGGTGCCTTGACAAGTGACGGACTGTTGACAGGTGGGATCTTCCAACAGTCTTGTTACTCTCACTAGGCCTGTGTCACCTCTGTGTTCTTAAGTCTTAAATGCCCCCTCATTCAGGTCTTAAATGCCCCCTCATTCAGGTCTTAAATGCCCCTCATTCAGGCCTTAAATGCCCCTCATTCAGGTCTTAAATGCCCCTCATTCAGGTCAATAAATGCCCCCTCGTTCAGGTCTTAAATGCCCCTCATTCAGGTCTTAAATGCCCCTCATTCAGGTCTTAAATGCCCCTCATTCAGGTCTTAAATGCCCCTCATTCAGGTCTTAAATGCCCCCTCATTCAGGTCTTAAATGCCCCTCATTCAGGTCTTAAATGCCCCTCATTCAGGTCTTAAATGCCCCTCATTCAGGTCTTAAATGCCCCCTCATTCAGGTCTTAAATGCCCCTCATTCAGGTCTTAAATGCCCCTTATTCACGTCTTAAATGCTCCTCATTCAGGTCTTAAATGCTCCTCATTCAGGTCTTAAATGCCCCTCATTCAGGTCTTAAATGCCCCTCATTCAGGTCTTAAATGCCCCTCATTCAGGTCTTAAATGCCCCTCATTCAGGTCTTAAATGCTCCCTCATTTAGGTCTTAAATGCCCCCTCATTTAGGTCTTAAATGCCCCCTTATTCAGGTCTTAAATGCCCCCTCATTCAGGTCTTAAATGCCCCTCATTCAGGTCTTAAATGCCCCTCATTCAGGTCTTAAATGCCCCTCATTCAGGTCTTAAATGCCCCTCATTCAGGTCTTAAATGCTCCTCATTCAGGTCTTAGGTAAATGAGTAAATCTACTCAGCCAAGTGTATGAGTAATCCCCTATTAAGGTGTATTAGTTCACCCCAGATGCATACCCCATCCATGTACTCATCCCTGTACTCATCCATGTACTCATCCATGTACTCATCCATGTACTCATCCATGTACTCATCCATGTACTCATCCATGTACTCATCCATGTACTCATCCCTGTACTCATCCCTGTACTCATCCATGCACTCATCCATGTACTCATGCATGTACTCATCCCTGTACTCATCCATGTACTCATCCATGTACTCATCCATGTACTCATCCCTGTACTTATCCATGTACTCATCCATGTACTCATCCCTGTACTTATCCATGTACTCATCCATGTACTCATCCCTGTACTTATCCATGTACTCATCCCTGTACTCATCCATGCACTCATCCATGTACTCATGCATGTACTCATCCCTGTACTCATCCATGTACTCATCCATGTACTCATCCATGTACTCATGCATGAGTACATGCATGAGTACAATATGTAATGTAATAAATCTATATTAGTTCTTAATGCCCCCTCAAGCTTTCCTTGGGACAGTGATTAGGACAGTGATAAGGACAGTGACCTGGACAGTGACCAGGACAGTGACCAGGACAGTGACCAGGACAGTGACCAGGACAGTGACCAGGACAGTGACCAGGACATTGACCAGGACAGTGACCAGGACAGTGACCAGGACAGTGACCAGGACAGTGATTAGGACAGTGATAAGGACAGTGACCTGGACAGTGACCAGGACAGTGACCAGGACAGTGACCAGGACAGTGACCAGGACAGTGACCAGGACAGTAACTAGGACAGTAACTAGGACAGTGATTTGGACAGTGACCAGGACAGTGACCAGGACAGTGACCAGGACAGTAACTAGGACAGTGACATGGACAGTGACCAGGACAGTGACCAGGACAGTGACCAGGACAGTGACCAGGACAGTGACCAGGACAGTAACTAGGACAGTGACCTGGACAGTGACCAGGACAGTGACCAGGACAGTGACCAGGACAGTAACTAGGACAGTGATTTGGACAGTGACCAGGACAGTGACCAAAATAATGATTTTTTTTCAAATTTACCAATTTGCAGTGAAAAGAAATACGGGCGAATTTGCTTTTTTTTCGTTCGTATAAAGTCATAAAAGCAACAGATGAATCAGAATTAACTCTGGTTGACAGTAGAGTTACACAAAATGAATCACAAAAGATTTAGAAGTAGGTATATATAGCTTTTCGAGGTTTACGATTATACACTGTAAACCAGAATTACGAATCGGCTCGTAGAGTATATATAGTCTACCCCCCCCCTCCACCCGTCACGTCCTCGTTACCCTGTCCACTGTATCACCTGTCCACTGTATCACCTGTCCACTGTATCACCTGTCCACTGTATCACCTGTCCACTGTATCACCTGTCCACTGTATCACCTGTCTAACTCCTGTCCATCCTGGTGGTAGTGTTGTCCCGTCGCCCCCTCGCTGCTCCGAGTACGCCCATCAGAGTACTCTCCTCTGAGTACGCCCTTACGAGTACGTCCCCTTGTTCTCCTTCAGTACTCATCGAGTTGTACTCAACTAGTTGTGCTTGCGGGGGCTGAGCTTTGTCTCTTTGGTCCCGCCTCTCAACCGTCAATCAACTGGTGTACAGATTCCTGAGCCTATCTGACATTGAAATTTTTTTTTCTAATGTCTCTGTGGCTCATTTGGGTACTAAGTTTCCACCTGTGTCCCCTTGATTCGTGTTCCACCCGGGCTGAAGAGTATGTCTTTGTCCACCCGGTCAATTCCCCTGAGAATTTTGTAGGTGGTTATCATGTCTCCCCTTACTCTTCTGTTTTTCCAGGGACGTAAGGTTCAGCTCTCTTAGCCTTTCCTCGTAGCTCATACCTCTCAGTTCCGGGACGAGCCTGGTGGCATACCGCTGAATCGTCTATAGATACACTGAATCTTCAGTGTATCAGTATGAGGGCGAAGAACATGATGGACTGCTGGGCGGGATGATAGTAATGGCTATTTATACCATTTAGACACAACACAAATACATACGTGAGCCTACGTGAGTCCTATGTGCAATGTAACCGAGGTTGACGTCTCCATTCCAGGTGGTGCTGCTGCTGGTGGTGGTGGTGGCCACGGCCGCCCTGGCGTCTCCCGCGCCCTGGTTCAAATTCAAATCGGCCAAAAGAGGACGCAGCTTGGGCGGCTCTGAGATCGGCTGGGTTCCTCCGCGCGGTCTGGTGGCCTACAAGAGCCGCTACTATGACAGGAGTGACGAGAGCTCCGAGGACGACTCCAGGAACGACTCAGACGAGAGCCGGAGCTACAGAAGGAGGTACTTCAGCCGCCGCTGGTGACGAGTTCGAGTAGTGGATTGACGCGCTGTTGACCTCCTGACTCGCCTGCTTGCAGCTCTCAGCCTCTTGGACCACCGTGTTTACTGCTCTAGTGATCCCAATCTTTACTGCTCTAAAGCTCTAGTGATCCCAATCTTTACTGCTGTAAGGCTCTAGTGATCCCAATCTTTACTGCTCTAAGGCTCTAGTGATCCCAATCTTTACTGCTCTAAGGCTCTAGTGATCCCAATCTTTACTGCTCTAAGGCTCTAGTGATCCCAATCTTTACTGCTCTAAGGCTCTAGTGATCCCAATATTTGCTGCTCTAAGGCTCTAGTGATCCCAATATTTACTGCTCTAAGGCTCTAGTGATCCCAATCTTTACTGCTGTAAGGCTCTAGTGATCCCAATCTTTACTGCTCTGTGTATCCAGTGACCCCAATCCTTACCGCTCAGGAGGGGGGGGGGTCCAGTGAGCACAATCACCTCCGTCCTGGGGTCAAGCAGAAGCAGGAGTTAGTCTTCAGATCAAGCGTCGTCTCCATCCTGTAACATGTTGTCGTCAGTGCTGACCAATGCCAATATATCTAAGTTTACCATTGAAAATATTCTTCAGACAACTAACAGAAATCTACAGAAAATGATCCAATTGAATAAACACCACGAATAGTTCCAAAGATATTGTTCATTTGAACAAAAGTATTATTCTGTACCACACGGTTAAGGGCCACATGATTCAATAGTTATATAAATAGTATTTTTAATCATTGCAAATTGTTCGTGGTCGATGATTGGTCGAGATTAAACTGTGCACTATAGTTTGTGGTGTGATTAATCATCTCCGTTTTCTTTACCCATCAGTTTTCCTTTCATGTTTTTGTTTTTGTTAAGTTAGAGCTGCATGTTGGAGAGCGGGTCGGTACGCTGGCAATATTATATCAGATGTGGTACCCGGCGGCGCCCGGGGCGACCCATTGCCCATGTCGGCACCACACACACACACACACACACACACACACACACACACACACACACACACACACACACAAACACAAACACACACACACACACACACACACACACACACACACACACACACACACACACACACACATCTATCACACACACACATCACATCTATCTCCTGAGGCACATATTAATAGGATAACGACAGCAGCGTACTCTACACTGTACTCTCCTCTGAGTACGCCCTTACGAGTACGTCCCCTTGTTCTCCTTCAGTACTCATCGAGTTGTACTCAACTAGTTGTGCTTGCGGGGGCTGAGCTTTGTCTCTTTGGTCCCGCCTCTCAACCGTCAATCAACTGGTGTACAGATTCCTGAGCCTATCTGACATTGAAATTTTTTTTTCTAATGTCTCTGTGGCTCATTTGGGTACTAAGTTTCCACCTGTGTCCCCTTGATTCGTGTTTCACCCGGGCTGAAGTTTGTCTTTGTCCACCCTGTCAATTCCCCTGAGAATTTTGTAGGTGGTTATCATGTCTCCCCTTACTCTTCTGTTTTTCCAGGGACGTAAGGTTCAGTTCTCTTAGCCTTTCCTCGTAGCTCATACCTCTCAGTTCCGGGACGAGCCTGGTGGCATACCGCTGAATCGTCTATAGATACACTGAATCTTCAGTGTATCAGTATGAGGGCGAAGAACATGAGGGACTGCTGGGGGGGATGATAGTAATGGCTATTTATACCATTTAGACACAACACAAATACATACGTGAGCCTACGTGAGTCCTATGTGCAATGTAACCGAGGTTGACGTCTCCATTCCAGGTGGTGCTGCTGCTGGTGGTGGTGGTGGCCACGGCCGCCCTGGCGTCTCCCGCGCCCTGGTTCAAATTCAAATCGGCCAAAAGAGGACGCAGCTTGGGCGGCTCTGAGATCGGCTGGGTTCCTCCCCGCGGTCTGGTGGCCTACAAGAGCCGCTACTATGACAGGAGTGACGAGAGCTCCGAGGACGACTCCAGGAACGACTCAGACGAGAGCCGGAGCTACAGAAGGAGGTACTTCAGCCGCCGCTGGTGACGAGTTCGAGTAGTGGATTGACGCGCTGTTGACAGCCTGACTCGCCTGCTTGCAGCTCTCAGCCTCTTGGACCACCGTGTTTACTGCTCTAGTGATCCCAATCTTTACTGCTCTAAAGCTCTAGTGATCCCAATCTTTACTGCTGTAAGGCTCTAGTGATCCCAATCTTTACTGCTCTAAGGCTCTAGTGATCCCAATCTTTACTGCTCTAAGGCTCTAGTGATCCCAATCTTTACTGCTCTAAGGCTCTAGTGATCCCAATCTTTACTGCTCTAAGGCTCTAGTGATCCCAATATTTGCTGCTCTAAGGCTCTAGTGATCCCAATATTTACTGCTCTAAGGCTCTAGTGATCCCAATCTTTACTGCTGTAAGGCTCTAGTGATCCCAATCTTTACTGCTCTGTGTATCCAGTGACCCCAATCCTTACCGCTCAGGAGGGGGGGGGGTCCAGTGAGCACAATCACCTCCGTCCTGGGTCAAGCAGAAGCAGGAGTTAGTCTTCAGATCAAGCGTCGTCTCCATCCTGTAACATGTTGTCGTCAGTGCTGACCAATGCCAATATATCTAAGTTTACCATTGAAAATATTCTTCAGACAACTAACAGAAATCTACAGAAAATGATCCAATTGAATAAACACCACGAATAGTTCGCAAAAGTTAGAACATCATTCAGAAACCTAAGTAAGGAGGCATTTAGGGCGCTTTACACTGCTTACGTAAGGCCAGTCTTAGAGTATGCCGCCTCATCATGGAGTCCCCATCTGAAGAAGCATATAATGAAACTGGAAAAGGTTCAGAGGTTTGCAACGAGACTCGTCCCAGAGCTACGAGGGATGGGGTATGAAGAGCGCCTGAGGGAACTGTGCCTTACGACACTAGAAAGAAGAAGGGAGAGGGGGGACATGATAGGAACGTATAAGATACTCAGAGGAATTGACAGAGTGGACATAGACGAAATGTTCACACGGAATAGTAACAGAACGAGAGGACATGGATGGAAGCTTGAAACTCAGATGAGTCACAGAGATGTAAGGAAGTTTTCTTTTAGCGTGAGAGTAGTGGGGAAATGGAATGCACTTCAGGAACAGGTTGTGGAAGCAAAATACTATTCATAATTTTAAAACCAGGTATGATAGGGAAATGGGACAGGAGTCATTGCTGTAAACAACCGATGCTCGAAAGGCGGGATCCAAGAGTCAATGCTCGATCCTGCAAGCACATATAGGTGAGTACATATAGGTGAGTACACACAGCTACACCTTACCAGGTGTAGCTGGTAAGGTGCTCCAGTGGATAAGGGAGTATCTAAGCAATAGGAAGCAGAGAGTTACGGTGAGGGGTGAGACCTCCGATTGGCGTGAAGTCACCAGTGGAGTCCCACAGGGCTCTGTACTCGGTCCTATCTTGTTTCTGATATATGTAAATGATCTCCGGAGGGTATCGATTCATTTCTCTCAATGTTTGCGGACGATGCTAAAATTATGAGAAGGATTAAAACAGAAGAGGACTGTTTGAGGCTTCAAGAAGACCTAGACAAGCTGAAGGAATGGTCGAACAAATGGTTGTTAGAGTTTAACCCAACCAAATGTAATGTAATGAAGATAGGTCACCTGTCCACTGTATCACCTGTCTAACTCCTGTCCATCCTGGTGGTAGTGTTGTCCCGTCGCCCCCTCGCTGCTCCGAGTACGCCCATCAGAGTACTCTCCTCTGAGTACGCCCTTACGAGTACGTCCCCTTGTTCTCCTTCAGTACTCATCGAGTTGTACTCAACTAGTTGTGCTTGCGGGGGCTGAGCTTTGTCTCTTTGGTCCCGCCTCTCAACCGTCAATCAACTGGTGTACAGATTCCTGAGCCTATCTGACATTGAAATTTTTTTTTCTAATGTCTCTGTGGCTCATTTGGGTACTAAGTTTCCACCTGTGTCCCCTTGATTCGTGTTTCACCCGGGCTGAAGTTTGTCTTTGTCCACCCTGTCAATTCCCCTGAGAATTTTGTAGGTGGTTATCATGTCTCCCCTTACTCTTCTGTTTTTCCAGGGACGTAAGGTTCAGTTCTCTTAGCCTTTCCTCGTAGCTCATACCTCTCAGTTCCGGGACGAGCCTGGTGGCATACCGCTGAATCGTCTATAGATACACTGAATCTTCAGTGTATCAGTATGAGGGCGAAGAACATGAGGGACTGCTGGGGGGGATGATAGTAATGGCTATTTATACCATTTAGACACAACACAAATACATACGTGAGCCTACGTGAGTCCTATGTGCAATGTAACCGAGGTTGACGTCTCCATTCCAGGTGGTGCTGCTGCTGGTGGTGGTGGTGGCCACGGCCGCCCTGGCGTCTCCCGCGCCCTGGTTCAAATTCAAATCGGCCAAAAGAGGACGCAGCTTGGGCGGCTCTGAGATCGGCTGGGTTCCTCCCCGCGGTCTGGTGGCCTACAAGAGCCGCTACTATGACAGGAGTGACGAGAGCTCCGAGGACGACTCCAGGAACGACTCAGACGAGAGCCGGAGCTACAGAAGGAGGTACTTCAGCCGCCGCTGGTGACGAGTTCGAGTAGTGGATTGACGCGCTGTTGACAGCCTGACTCGCCTGCTTGCAGCTCTCAGCCTCTTGGACCACCGTGTTTACTGCTCTAGTGATCCCAATCTTTACTGCTCTAAAGCTCTAGTGATCCCAATCTTTACTGCTGTAAGGCTCTAGTGATCCCAATCTTTACTGCTCTAAGGCTCTAGTGATCCCAATCTTTACTGCTGTAAGACTCTAGTGATCCCAATCTTTACTGCTCTAAGGCTCTAGTGATCCCAATATTTACTGCTCTAAGGCTCTAGTGATCCCAATCTTTACTGCTGTAAGGCTCTAGTGATCCCAATCTTTACTGCTGTAAGGCTCTAGTGATCCCAATATTTACTGCTCTAAGGCTCTAGTGATCCCAATCTTTACTGCTGTAAGGCTCTAGTGATCCCAATCTTTACTGCTGTAAGGCTCTAGTGATCCCAATCTTTACTGCTCTAAAGCTCTAGTGATCCCAATCTTTACTGCTGTAAGGCTCTAGTGATCCCAATATTTACTGCTCTAAGGCTCTAGTGATCCCAATCTTTACTGCTCTTGGCTCTAGTGATCCCAATCTTTACTGCTCTAAGGCTCTAGTGATCCCAATATTTACTGCTCTAGTGATCCCAATCTTTACTGCTCTGTGTATCCAGTGACCCCAATCATTACCGCTCAGGAGGGGGGGGGGGGTGGTCCAGTGAGCACAATCACCTCCGTCCTGGGGTCAAGCAGAAGCAGGAGTTAGTCTTCAGATCAAGCGTCGTCTCATCCTGTAACATGTTGTCGTCAGTGCTGACCAATGCCAATATATCTAAGTTTACCATTGAAAATATTCTTCAGACAACTAACAGAAATCTACAGAAAATGATCCAATTGAATAAACACCACGATTAGTTCCAAAGATATTGTTCATTTGAACAAAAGTATTGTTCTGTACCACACGGTTAAGGGCCACATGATTCAATAGTTATATAAATAGTATTTTTAATCATTGCAAATTGTTCGTGGTCGATGATTGGTCGAGATTAAACTGTGCACTATAGTTTGTGGTGTGATTAATCATCTCCGTTTTCTTTACCCATCAGTTTTTCTTTCATGTTTTTGTTTTTGTTAAATTAGAGCTGCATGTTGGAGAGCGGGTCGGTACGCTGGCAATATTATATGTGGTACCCGGCGGCGCCCGGGGCGACCCATTGCCCATGTTGGCACACACACACACACACACACACACACACACAC